TCCGACGTAAAAAGGGACCATTTTCTTTAAAACAATGCTCACAAGTATTTCCTTGGTTTTAAATGCGAATTTGAGGCTGTAACATAATATGTTCATATCTGAACGTTGCCCGTATGGCTAGGTTGTAGGATAATTATCTTATCGGAAGCTTTGGGAATAAAACAAACTCATAAAAACAAATAAAACAAGGATTAAAAATAAATAATATATTTTTATTTACTTTCTTTAAAGTGATGAACGAGTACTTTGGAATTCGGCGAAACAAAAAGTTCGTTAACAAAGCGGATATTGATAGCAGTCTGGAGAAATGTCCGTTTCGGTAGTTTTAAGTATGACCACGGTAGGGATAGTAGTAATGTCAGGCATTAGGTCAGATGTCAACCTGCTGTGTTCTTTTCCGCTCTGGAACAATTCGTAAATGTCGGTGACAGATGACCTTTGGACTGTTTCTTCACGCGCCACACCTGGCTGCGTTCTTTTGTTGCACCCTCTAATGGGGCCATTCTTGTCTCCTCTCTGTTGTCTGCGTCCAACCTCCCTATGGCCTAAAGGCGTCAGGTTTTTATATCCGTTTCAATAGACCCGAAAATATGGCGCAAACATCAAAAAGTCTAGTATTATCAATTTTTCTTTTTTTTTTTTTAAATAAGATAATTTTCCAACGTTCCATTCTTTGTCATTTTTTTTTTTAGAACGGAAGTTATGCGTGTAGCCTTCCTGATTTTTTAGTATTTTTCCGTCTGAAAATTGCCGGAGATTTGGGCCGGGTTCATTTTTTTTTTTTTTTTTTTTCCTTACTCTTTTTATTTGAAGGTCGGCTTCTCGTAGATTGAAAGAAATATAGAAAGAGTCCGGGTACAAAAAGAGAAAGAAAGAAGAGAGAGAGAAGGATAGAGAGAAAGAAAAAGAGAGAAAAAAGAGAGAGAAAAGAGAAACAGATAAAGACAAAGAGAGAGGTGGAAGTATAGAAAGAGAAGTTTAGAGTGATAGGACGCGAAAGTGAGAGAGAAATATAGAAAGAGAAGTACAGAGAAAGAGATTAGAAGAGAAAGAGAGAGAGAAGAGAGAGAGAAAGAAAAAGCGAGAAGTATAGAAAGAAAAGGCCAGAGAGAAAGAGGGAAAGAAATGAGGCAGGGAAGTATCAAGAGAAAGAAAGAGAGAGAGACAAAGAGAAGAGCAGAGAGAGATAGACAAAGAAAGTGAGAGAAATAGACTGAGAAGAATAGGGAGAAAGAAAGAGAGAGAAAAAAGAGAAGTACATAGATAGATAGATAGATAGAAAAGAGAAAGAGAATGATAGAGAGAAAGAAAGAGAGAAAGAAAGAGAGGAGAGAGAAAGATAGAGAGAAGTATATAAAGAGAAGTTAGAGGCATAGAAAGAAAAGGATAAGGGTTTTATAGAAAAGCGCAAATACCTTATTTTAATTTGAATCCTTTTTATTTCTTTTCAGAGATTTTTATTTTTTATTTTATATATATATACATATATATATATAATTATTTATTTAAAAATATGATTCCAACACACTACATAAGAGTTCTCATGTTTCAAAACAAGAGCCAAAAACTTCAATATAATTATTTGAATTAAATGTAATTAAAGTACCAAGCTCTGTTCCATCTTCAAGCAAATTTTTTTTGAAGATGGAACAGAGCTTAGTACTTTAATTAAATTTAATTCAAATAATTATATTTTTGACTTTTTGTTTTGAAACATGAGAACTCTTATGTAGCGTGTTGAATCATATTTTTAAATAAATAATTATATTTATGCTCTACTTTTTGTATCGAGCACTATTTTTTTTAAAATAATAACAAAAATACTAAAGAATTTTGGATTATTACAAAACGAGTTCTTTCCTATTTTCTATATATTTTCCACACACACAGATAGATAGATAGATAGATAGATAGATAGATAGATAGATATAAAGCAGAAGTTATGCATGGAGCCTCCATGATTTTTGTTAGTTTTCAACCACAAATAAGTAGGCTGTGATCTATTTTTTGCTGGGTTCAGTGTTTTCTTCTTCCTTTTTTTATTTGAGGGTTTCTTGCGAGTTCAGAGAGAAGTTTGGAGAGAGAAAGAAGAAGATAAGCGTTTTAAAGGAAAGTGCACATATGTCTTATTTTAGTTTGAATTCTTTTTATTTTTGTTTCTAGATTTTTTTTTAATTTTATTTCTACGGAGACTCGCTACAAGTCTATAAGCACATATTTGGTTTGGAAATAGTTAAATACTGGTCGTTTATATTGGAGTCTGTGGGAATTTACTTTAGGCATATTGGTAGTTTATATTTGAGTCATTTAGTTGATATGTGGGCCCATTGCAGTGGATACAATCCGCGTATTCTAGACCCTGGTCGATAAGGTAGAAATATAGTTTTGCTTTCCGTAGGTTAAATTGTTGTAATCCTGAATAGGTAGCCGCTAGTGTTACTAGTAAAGGTGTCTACCGTGGTCATACTTCAAACTACCGAAATAGACATTTCTCCAGACT